GTTTTCAGACACTTAATTGTGAGTTAACTGCAATTGAATAAAAAACATATTATATTTTACAATTATATTAAATGCAAATGTAAACTATAGTACATTTAATACACTTAAGTGGGTCAAAAAAGCACTACTTAAGTTCATCCTATGCATCCTATACCCACTTAAGTACATATTTATAGTTACTTTTATAATTTTTTTAAATATGCCAAATGTTTGATAAGCCGAATATACTGACAATCATTTAAGGTAAATTAAAATATACTTTAATGTCATTTCTATTGAAATTTGTACGTCATGTATTTAAACATATTTGTAATTACACATTTGTACAGATTAAGTTGCAATGTAGCATATTTAAAATATATTAGGTTTAAATGTAATGTTGAATAACATACTACAGTTAAAAATATATTCAAGTACTTTACATTAGTATGTTAGTCAACACATCAAAATAAGTGTGCTTATTTGATTTATTATTGTTCTTAAGTGTGTTTTTAAAACAAAAGATGAGTAAACATTAATTTAAATAACTTACAATGGTGTAAAATGTAATTTAAAGTAAAAGTTTTACATTATTATAAAGTGCACTTTTTAAAAGTGTACTCAAGTGTGTTAAGAAACTGACTTAAGTGGCCTTTTATTACATTAATATTATATTATCTGCAAGAACAGTTTTTAAAAATATACTTTTAAGATTTGAAATTCACTACAAGTGCACATTAAGTACAATGAAGTGAACCTCTTTTTTTACAAGGGTCGACATGAGACCTCTCATGAAATTAGCATATTGCAGTTGTTTTATTGAGCTTGTAGTCATGCTGTGGTTATAAAGTTTATCAACATGCAGATAAGACTGCTAAAATCAATTGGTCAGTCAACCACAACCACATTGGAAAATCCAGATAAAACCAGTTTCTGATGGTTTCTTGCGGATCCAAGCTGGTCTACAGCAGTTCTAAAAACAAACTTGACCATCTTAAACTGGTCTGACCTGGTATTTCCAATGAGGAATTTTAATATATGGTAAGTCTTCTCAGCGGCACTTGACTTTGAAACCCTCAAATAACATCACTATCCACACAAATGCATCAAGGGATACTCTTTGGCTTCTTTTATGCC